CTACATTTGATGGCTGACCTCCTTACAGCTAACTTCCACCATTGATGGCTGACATCCTTACAGCTAACTTCCACCATTGATGGCTGACATCCTTACAGCAAACTTCCACCATTGATGGCTGACATCCTTACAGCTAACTTCCACCATTGATGGCTGACATCCTTAAAGCTAACTTCCACCATTGATGGCTGACATCCTTACAGCTAACTTCCACCATTGATGGCTGACATCCTTACAGCTAACTTCCACCATTGATGGCTGACATCCTTACAGCTAACTTCCACCATTGATGGCTGACATCCCCACAGCTCTCTCACCATTGATGGCTGACATCCTTGCCAGCTAACTTCCACCATTGAAGGCTGATATCTCTTACAGCTAACTTCCACCATCGGCGGCTGACATCCTACAGCTAACTTCCACCATTACACATATCCTTACAGCTAACTTCCACCATTGATGGCCGACATCCCATAGCTAACTTCCACCATTGATGGCTGACATCCTTACAGCTAACTTCCACCATTGATGGCTGACATCCTTATAGCTAACTTCCACCATTGATGGCTGACATCCTTACAGCTAACTTCCACTAATGATGGCTGACATCCTTACAGCTAACTTCCACCATTGATGGCTGACATCCTTACAGCAAACTTCCACCATTGATGGCTGACATCCTTACAGCTAACTTCCACCATTGATGGCTGACATCCTGACAGCAAACTTCCACCATTGATGGCTGACATCCTTACAGCTAACTTCCACCATTGAAGGCTGACATCTTTAAGCTAACTTTTACAGTTAATGGCTGACACTTAAGGGTTAAGGACACTCTGAGTCATAAAGGTTTGTCACTAAAACTTTAAATAGTTAAATAATCCTCGCGTTTAAGATAAATGAGAGGAAAAAAAATCCCAATGACTGGTGAATGGGACAACCTACATGTAGTTCAACATAACAAGTTTGACAACATACAGTTATAACAGTCCACATACCTGACACTTTCACAACACACAGTTATAATGGTCCACATACCTGACACTCACAACACACAGTTATAACAGTCCACATACCTGACACTTTCACAACACACAGTTATAATGGTCCACATACCTGACACTCACAACACACAGTTATAACAGTCCACATACCTGACACTTTCACAACACACAGTTATAACGGTCCACATACCTGACACTTTCACAACATACAGTTATAACAGTCCACATACCTGACACTTTCACAACACACAGTTATAACAGTCCACATACCTGACACTTTCACAACACACAGTTATAACGGTCCACATACCTTTCACAACACACAGTTATAACAGTCCACATACCTGACACTTTCACAACACACAGTTATAACGGTCCACATACCAACACTTTCACAACACACAGTTATAACAGTCCACATACCTGACACTTTCACAACACACAGTTATAACGGTCCACATACCTGACACTTTCACAACACACAGTTATAACAGTCCACATACCTGACACTTTCACAACACACAGTTATAACAGTCCACATACCTGACACTTTCACAACACACAGTTATAACAGTCCACATACCTGACACTTTCACAACACACAGTTATAACGGTCCACATACCTGACACTTTCACAACATAGTTATAACTGTCCACATACCTGACACTTTCACAACATAGTTATAACTGTCCACATACCTGGGAGGGATCTAGTTTGTACACAGGGCACGCCTTCATTGAAGCTTCTACTGTAGTTCTGTAACACTCTAACGCGCTCTTGAGCTCTTTTTCTCTGGATCCTCTACTGTTAAGGGACATGAATAAAGAATTCAAGTCTTCTACACTGTGGAAAAAGAACCACTTGTGACGATCTCGTCTCTCCGAATGCACCGGACAGTTTCTGGGATTAGCCGTACACAGACCAAATATATCCGGCATCGGACTACGGTCATCGTCCATAACTAAAGCTTCACCGTCTGTTTCCAGCTTCACGTCACCACTCAAATTTATGTCCATTTTCAACTCCGACTCGGCACCGTCAGGGGACAACACCGAACACTTCTCCGTCTTAACCTGGTGTGACGGTTGATTGTGATTGAGAGTCTGTAACAGTTTCTTACTTGGAGTGCCTTTGGCTTGCTTAGCGGGGCTCTCACTGCCATCATTTTCCTTGTCACTGTTGCTCTTGTCGTCCTTCTCGGCGATAGTTTCCGACATGTTCTTCTTGGCCTGCACTCTCAACACCTCCACGAGTGCGTCGGTAAGATCGGGATTGGACTGAGGGTTGTAGGGTGTTGGAGTCTGCCGACACACTCCCGGGTGCTGCTCGTTATCCTCCACGAACAGTCCGGGGAGAGAATTGAACAGCCAATAACGGCGAAATGCTCTGTCGTGGCCTAAAGGTTGACTGTTGACACCTTGAGCCATATTAAGCACCTGGAAAGACAAGCATTTTATTAAAAGAATTGAAGTAATAGCCATAAGTCTGAGGGCTGGTGACCACAGAGCTCCACTTCATCTCTATCCTTGATCCTACCGTCACTCCTTAAGCTGATATTATTTTTCTTAATGTATGAAAGTTCAATATTTCTCATTACTTAACCTACTTTAAATACCTCACTTGTTTCCTGTCAGTTTAACATAATTTTAACATTCTCCTGAAGCAATACATTATTAAGGCTTCTAACTCCTTTCTGGTGTCTACCAAAAGTGTCTACACTTCTGAACACACAATATGTAATAGTAGTCAGGATGAGCTTCCTTGCCAGCCTTGGTAGAGCAATGGACAAAGGTGTGTGTGTGTGTGGTTGCCCCTCGTGTAACCCGGGCAGGGTGAAACTATGGTCAAGTTTCTTTACGCCATTTGCCTCTGTCTACCCAGCAGTAATTGGATGTTAATCGATTTGCGGATCGTATTCCGGGGTAATGGTTAGTCAGTGCAATTGGTGAGTTGTCCGGTCTTCACGAACTGTTCCTTGACACTGGGTCGTGCAACTCGTTAACTTAGGGTGTGGTTGTTGTGTTGGCGACAGCTTTTACGCCTTAAATAAATTCACACCAAGGTGGCCCTTGGGCCAGTCATCCTCGTTACACAAGGGGCAACCATTATGTATGACTGATGTCATATGGTGTACTGTACTGAGGTCATCACAACTGGGCTCATTCTTGACACAGGGTTACACAGTTCATGAATTATCCAGGGGTGTGATTAACACTTCAGCCGGCCAATGACACGATTTGGGTCACTAGACGGGCCATGAGGAACAAAATGTCCCCCTTCACCCTGAGAGCACACCAGCCATCCTTGGGTCACTAGACGGGCCATGAGGAACAAAATGTCCCCCTTCACCCTGAGAGCACACCAGCCACCAGACGGGCCATGAGGAACAAAATGTCCCCCTTCACCCTGAGAGCACACCAGCCATCCTTGGGTCACCAGACAGGCCATGAGGAACAAAATGTCCCCCTTCACCCTGAGAGCACACCAGCCATCCCATACCATTTATACAAATATTTTGTTCTTTTAACTATAAAACAAAAACAACACAAATGGCAAATAAAATAAACGAAAAATCTAACGCATTTCAGATGCCGCAGATAGCATCACCGGCCGGTCTACGGGCGAGGTTTAGACCGCATGGGTGGCAAGTGAACGGGTTAAGTGGGAGCTTCTACACCACTGATAAACTGCTGCTTAGATTGTTCCAAGACAATTGTCCTCACTCACAAGGGGATAACATCAGCAGCATTTACAACAATTTTCCATGTTTATGTTGGGCAGCCATGACTCCCTCGAACTCAAATAAACGCAAATCTTACTCCTACCAACTTTGCATAAAAAAAAGGGCGAGAAGGCCCCCCACCTAAAAATAATAATGCGAATAGTGCCCTTATGAACAAAATTCTGGCATACTCAGCTATAAAAATTAAAGCAAAACCACCTCTTCTGTACTCAGTGTTAAACCCAGACACTAATTCTGATTCGCCTTCCGCAAAATCGAAGGGAGTTCGGTTTGTCTCAGCTAAACAAGAAGCAAACCAAATTAAAGCTAACGGCAATGTAACCCACAAAAATCACACACTTTCTTGGTATAAATTAAAAAGTTCTAGACTAAAACCACCAACTAAAAAAATAAAAGAAAGCAAAATTAAAGCAAGACTAACTTCATAAGAAATAGTTTGAGCAATGGCGCGGAGCCTACCTAACAAAGAATATTTACAGTTAGAAGCTCAACCAGCTCTTATAGTTGAATAAACACCTAATCTTAAACAGAACAAGAAAAAAAGTACTCCAATATTTAAGTTTATTATTCCAACTTCATATGGAATTACTAACCATACAATTAATGCAGTAAACAAACTAAAAACAGGTGAAGCATAGTATGGAAGAAAATTAGATTTTACAGGTACCGTTTGCTCTTTAGTAAATAACTTCACAGCGTCCGCAAAGGGTTGTAGCAGTCCAATAAAACCATCTTTATTTGGTCCTTTACGAATTTGGATATACCCTAAAATTTTACGTTCTAATAAAGTAACAAATGCAACACCCACAAGAACACAAATAATCAAAATTAAATAACTCACAAATATAACTAAAGCCATCACAAACTGTTTTATTCAAACATTTTTTAATAAATGTTTATTACTTATAGAAAACTCTATCTAATTAGATCCTAAGTCTAATGCATCACATCTGCCAAAGTAATATAGTTAATCTACACTTAAAAATTATTTTAATTACTAAATCCTTTCGTACTAAAGTAATTTTTGTTTTCTTAAAAGATAGAAACCAACCTGGCTCACGCCGGTTTGAACTGAAATCATGTAAAAATTTAAAGGCCGAACAGACCTACCTCCACAACTCCTACGCCATGGCGAATTTATAATTCAACATCGAGGTCGCAAACTTTTTTATCGATATGAACTCTCAAAATAAATAACGCTGTTATCCCTAAAGTAACTTAAATTTTTAATCAACAACAAGGATCATTACACACAAATACCTCTGTATTTTAAATTTAAACAGTTACAAATTATATCATCGTCGCCCCAACGAAATAATTTAGTATATAAATAATATTAAACTTTCAACTCATCTAATTATATACTAAATTATTAAGCTTTATAGGGTCTTATCGTCCCTTTAAAATATTTAAGCCTTTTCACTTAAAAGTCAAATTCAAATTTGTGTTTGAGACAGTTTGCTTCTTGTCCAACCATTCATACAAGCCTCCAATTAAGAGACTAATGACTATGCTACCTTCGCACGGTTAAAATACCGCGGCCCTTTAGTTTGATCCCAGTGGGCAGGTTAGACTTTATAAACCATCATATAGACATGTTTTTGATAAACAGGCAGAAGCTTTATTTGTCGAGTTCCTTAACCCACACCAATCAATATTTAAAATTTATTAATTTTTTAATATTTTACTATTTACAAAATTTTCTACTAATAAAATCATTTTATCTATAAATACAAAGATTATCAACATTTTTAGATACAACTACAAGAAGAATATAAATAACTTTAACTCAAAAATTAGTTAAAACACTTTACTCATATGTCTACTTCTAAGCCTAATTCAACTATTAAATAAATTTCTTCTATACTTTTTTATATTTTGAATAAGAAGCTCAACCCTCCTATTCTTACATTTAACTTTCCTTAAATATTAAAACTGAATTAAATTCATTTCTCTAAAAACCAGATATCAAAGGAATTGTTTAACATTTCATCACTAAATTAATATTAAAGATATTTATGCCACAATAACCTTTTTATCAATTTAGCTCTTCCATTTTCGGGATCAAAAAACTACTTTTAAAATTTTAATTTTCCCTGATACACAAGGTACAAAAATTTACTTTTGCTTTCTTATTATTAAATTTTCATTTATTTCACTATTCTTTTACAATACTTTTAACTCTAGCCTTTATCTCAGTTTTCGATTCAAAATTTTAGATTTCTACTTACTTCTTTTATATAAAAATATTTTTCTCATTTATATTCTAACACTAAATAACAATAGCAAAGATTTATAATACTCAAAATATAATCGATTTGCACGATAAACCTTCTCAACGTAAGTGAGATGCTAAACTATAAAGCTTTATTTCGATTATTTCTAGGGACACTTTCCAGTACACCTACTATGTTACGACTTATTTCATTTTAAATGAAAGTGACGGGCGATATGTACATAATTTAGAGCTTATACCAAAAAAGCTTATTAAACTTTTTTTACAATTACATCCACCTTCTTTAAAAATAATTCTATTTTCAATCCGTTATAAATAAATATTATTGTAACTCATTTCTACTTATCTATCAGCTGTACCTTGATCTAATATATTAAATTTTTTTTTAATCCCAATAATTAACTTTTTCAAGATTATTTAATAATGACGGTATACAAACTGTAAAATTTACCAAGATAAGTAAGATTCTGCGTGTTTTATCGTTTATAGAACAAGTTCCTCTAACAAGACTAAAATACCGCCAAATTCTTTGATTTTAAAGAGTATAACCATTAATATTCAAGCATTTAAATTTTACTCCCAGGTGTAATAGGGTATCTAATCCTAGTTCATACCCTGGCATCTACAGTTTCATCTTTATTATATACTAGTTTAATTTACTAATTAACAATCTAATTTTACCTTTTATTAAAATAAACTAAACTAACTTATAAATTTTTAATTAACTGTTAACTAAATTACTTTTACTTAATCTTAAAGTGTAACCGCGACTGTTGGCACAAAACTTAGTCAGACTTCTTATAACTACCAAATCAGGCTACCGCCCATAATTTAATATTTTATACTGTGATTTTAATTTTCTTAACACGATTTCTACTTCTTAATTAAACTTATTTTTAATAAATTTACTTATTTTTTGTTCCCCACAATTATTTACATGTATTTACCAGCTATAACGTAAAAGTATCAAGCAAGAATCAAACTTCCATGACTGTGCAAATAGTATTTTTTTAATTTTTGACGATTAAATAAACGTACTAAAATTAAAGAAATTTGTTATCAACGTTAAAATTAACAATATAAATATGATTATAAGCATAAATAATTAAACAAATTATATCAGTTATTTATTACCAAAAAAAATCTGTCCCACACCCAAATCAAGCTAAAAAATTATGAAGGTAAAACACCATTTCATGCAGCTTTAAAAGAAACCCCGACAAAATTTAAAATTGTTATGAAGTTTGTTAGAAGTGCTAATTAACTCCCTAACAATAAAGTGAAGTTATGAATTAGTTAGCACTCTCCACTAACTTACTAACCTTAAACGAAATATTTGAGCCATAGTAATATATCTACATATCTACATATTTCAAACCAGAAAATTAAATTTTTAAAAGTGCTGGTCTGCTTCAAAACGCGTCAATATACTAAAAACAGAAATTTTGATTATGATT